GAACATAATTAATTTAGCTAATTCTCTGTTCTTGGATATTAGTTTGGACAATTTGATAAGACAAGTCTTATGAAATTATTTTTAATACAAACTGAGATCCAGAGTGGGTGAATTGTGAAACTGCACGTACACTCTTCTCTCAGGGCATAAGGATAACAGAATTTTTTTTTAAAGTGGCTCTTCAGAGAAAAATCCCTATGGCTGTCCATTCCCTCTCTTGGTGCGTGACACACAGTGAAAGACTCACTTCATGTGAGAATACAGAATCCACAGGTCAGACTATTTTCACAACTGGCATGATCTGGCAAGCATATCAGAAAATCTGACTTTCCATTCTTTTGTCTTTCATATATAACTCGAGATTCAAAATCAGAAGAAATGTGTGCTTTAGGCAAAATAACTACTTGGCTAAATCAAAACTCCTCCGTCAGAGAAGCATGCACGGCCAGTAACTGCCCTGTCTCGCCTAAGGTAGAAAATGTTCTGTCCTGGAAGTCTGGATCACTTAGTCTCCCAGACACTGTTGAAACAATAACCTACACAACTCCTGCTCCAGCAGCCCAGGCCCTTTCTGACTGAGGTAGCAAGTTCATTTTTACCAGAGAGTCTTGTGAAGACTGCCATGCTGAAGCCAAGGGCATCTGAAGAAGAAAACACAATTTTTTTTTTCCCTAGATATTTTGGTCAGCCTGAAACGGATTTTCTGTTCGAACCACTGTTCTGTTTTTTCCAAAGGAAAAAGTGACTTCTTGAAAGAACTACGGAAAGCAGAAGTCTTTTACTCTTACGTAGAAAAAGATGAAGGTTGGGTTGGGTAGAGAAAGACCTTCCTTTCCAGCTACATGGCTTGGAGCAAGTGTGTTAACCTTGAGGATCCCTGTTTCCTCAACTGCAAAAATAGAGGTAACAGCTACCTCACAGAGGTTACTGTGAAGATTAAACTAGAACATGCTAGTAAAATGCCCAGCACGGTGGCTGGCACATAACTTCCTTTCCTCCTTCCTCTTTGGCCAGCAGTGCTATTCACTCCTGTAGTATATTCACTCATGAAATAAAAAACTGCTAGACGCTGAAGATACAAAGATAAGACACATGCTCCGTCTTTGCATACTGCCTGGCACACAATAAATATTTGTTTAATAGGTTAAGTAGCTCAAAGCCTGCTGGGAAAGGCAGATATGTAATAAATAATTATTATAAACACTTTTGATGCAATGTGAAAAGACTTGCACAGGGTGTCATGAGATCATAGAATAAGCACTGTCTAACTCTGTTTAGGGAAACTGGGGAAGGATTACTGAAGGATGGATTTTGATGGGTGAGTAGAAGTGTTCAGGTGGAATAGAGGAAGGAGAGGGTGGTGGTGGAAAAAAGGTAGACGAAACAGAATTTGTAAAGGTCCAGAGGGAAAAAAAGAGTATGGTATGTTTGGGGAAATAGAAATGAAGCAAGAAAGATAAATTGTGAAAGACTTCTGATGCCATCCCAGGGTGTCTGGGGTTTCACCTTTTGACCAATTCATCTCAGACTTTAATATGCTTAAGAATCATCTGGGGATACAGTTAAAAATGCAGATTCTGATTCAGCAAGTATGCGATAGGGCCTGAGAGTCTGCATTTCTTTCAATGGCTCCAGAACTTGCTTCCAAGGCACCTCTGGGTGAATTTGAACAGCCAACCTTTCAGTTAGTAGCCGAGGGCTTAACTCTTGGCATCACCCAGGGACTCCTGAAGTCTGCATTTCTATGTATCCCCATGTGATGCTGGAGCAACTGGTCTACGGACCCTACAATGAGCAGCAAGGCTTAGAAAAAAAAGAGTCAACAGAGATTCTTAAAGAGGACAGGACATGATCAGATTTATTTACTAGGAAGCTCACTAGGCTCCAGTGTGGCGGATGGACTAGAATTGAAGGTACTTCACACATTCTTACTTAGTGGTGATCACCACAATATCCCTAATGACGTAACACCAGAAGACTGCAGACCCTGATAATTGGACCAGGCCTTAGAGATTGTGTGGCTGAACTCCTTCTCTTTACACAATATGAAAAGGAGCTCTTAAAAGGTGACATGACTGCCCCAGCGTCAGACAGTTAGCTGGTGGCAAGGACGCAGATACATTAACTCAAATCCATTTTTTTAAATAGTTGTAAAATATATATATAACACAGCATCTGCCTATTCAACATCTTCAGGTGTCCAATTTTAACTAAAATCCATTTAAAAAATACCATGTTCTTTCTGCCAACTTCCCCCACTCTATGACATGAATGTACATTCTGAGTTGAACAGTGAGTATACATTGGAATCAAGAAGAAAAACAGATGCAGGAACAGTCCTTGTCCAGCCTTTCAGAATTACGGAGCGCGTGGCATACTGCACATGCCATGTTAGGCAAACTCCGCACGACTGGCAGTCACCTGGCAGAATCTCTGGTTACTAGATTCTATGTGCCCCTTCTTTCATCTTGTCTCTTGAAACATGTAAGAAGTGCAGGTTCCACGTAAATGGCAAGTAGATGAATGCCTGCCTGCTCTGGTGGTGTTCTAAGCCTGCTTTGTACCGACAGGAATGTACAGATGGACCAGCTGGTGGTGGGGTAAAAGGAACTAACAAAGCTCACATGCCTGAAAAACCAAATCAGGTGCCATCAGGTCGATTCTGACTCATAGTGACCCCGTGTGTTTCAGAGTAGAACTGGGCCCATAGGGTTTTCCTGGCTGTGCCCTTTCAGAAGCAGATTGCCAGGCCTTTGCTATACACTGACATACATTATTTAATTCTTATAAGGTATCTACAAAGAATGCATTCTTATTTTGATTTCATACTTCAAGGAAGCGAGGTTCATAGAAAAGGAGAATTGATAAGAAAAAAAAACACAAAAAACAAAGAAATAGTGACATGAAGGCATCAGGGCCAGAGGTATTTGGGAAACGGAGAAGGATCCAGAAAAGCAGAGTCTTTTTAGTTATATCTTATCCACAAGGTCTAACCTCCCAGGGAAACAGAATAGTGAGAAAGAACACACTGACTCAGTGAATTCCAGATGAACAGAGCTGTTTTAAGGAGCCACTTCCAGGCCAAGAGGGCTCTGATTAAAAAGGTTAAAGTAGCATCCACCAGATGCAGTGTTTTGAGCTTACAAACGGGGCTCTCACTCTGTAACAAAAACTAAAAGCTGCTTACTCATGAATCACATGTTCTCCTTTATCTGACACATTGAGAAACAGCTGACTTCAGTCTTTCTTAGATCTTGTAGAAAGGGAGAAGCAACAGGAAAAAAAATTACTATTAACTAGCTAAGTAATTTAAAACCATCTCAGCAAGAATTTTATCCTAAACTTGTGTATTAATTAATGAGAAACTAATTTGCTCTGTAAACTTTCACCTAAATCACACACACAAAAAAATTTTATCCTAGTAAGGATGTACTTTTTCATAAACCGTAGGAGCTGTTAGTTTTATGCTCCATGATCTAATGGAAGACTACGGTGTGGCCAACTTTGAATGAGGGTACTAACAGCTATAAGAAATTTCATCTACTTTGAAGGGGGAGAATTAAGGTTTACAAATTTAGTAACAAAAGACCAAAAAGCAAGACCTTATTTAAAGGTATCTTAAATACCTTACCATCCTTTTACCTTGCTTTATTCCACAATAACAATTCAAACTTATCGACCTAAGTGTGTACTGACCCTGTGCTAAGCACTGCTGTGTGGATTACCTCACTTAATGCTCATGATTCCATGATGTAAGTATTACTATTCTTACAGTTTATAGAGAAAGAGAAGAAAAGCTTAAAGAAGCCAGAATTCCAACTGCTTCAGCAGTCTCACTCGCCCGACAGGTCAAAAACAGTTAGATCCAGGGGGTGAATGAACTATATTGTTGTCAGGGGCAATGTCCAGAAAAGAATTATCCAGAATGCGTGGGTACCCATGGCACATGACCATCATCTAATTGTGCAAGCAAAGGGGCTGTGATAGTAGTCACCTGGAAGTCAAAATTCTTGCTTGGGTAATGATTACTCAGCAATCGGCTGTTGTTATCTTCCCAGCCCCACTCCTGCCCCCATGCCAACATTCTACCAGTGTTGAAACAAGACTACAAACGTGTCTAAGGGGTCCATCTTGCAGCTCCCCTCCCCACTTCTCTCAGGGCAGGAATATTTTCATTAAGTCAGATCTCTAGAGATAGGATCCCTAGAGGGATCAGTTCCTGCTGAAACAGGATTCTCCTTATCCAGCTCTAGTTGCTGTATGCGGTAAAGCCAGGATTGTGATAAAATCCAAGGAGAATTTACTTTGTGGATCTACAGACATTGGGAGAAAGGCAAGGGGCCCTATCTTCTCCCTTCCTGCACTCTGTGGGATAATAGAGACCTCTTCTCTGACTTGAAGGATCCCTGGTGGTGCAGTGGTTAAGCGCTCAGCTGCTAACCAAAAGGTGGGCAGTTTAAACCCACCAGCCGCTCCGTGGGAGTAAGATGTGGCAGTCTGCTTCCATAAAGAGTACAGCCTTAGAAATCCTATGGGGCAGTTCTGCTCTGTCCTACAGGGTCGCTATGAGTCAGAATCAACTCGACAGCAATGGGTTTTGGGTTCTGGCTCTCTGACTTGGAGGTCTGAGACAGGGCAGAGGTGAGACCAACAGAAGCTGCCATTTGGCAATCATACCAGAGAGCAGCAGAGTATATGTGCCTCTTGTTACAGAGAGAAAACCCCACCAATTGCCATCTAATTGATTCCAACTCATGGTGACCCCATGGGTGTCAGAGTAGAACTGTGCTCCATAGGGTTTTCAATGGCTGGTTTTAAGGAAGGAGACTGCCAGGCCTTTCTTCTGAGGCACCTCTGGGTGGACTCGAACCTCTAACCTTTCTGTTAGCAGCCAAGCGTGTTAACCATCTGCATCACTCAGAGACTCCTTATCATAGAGAACTTTTCTCCATTTCAGTAGAGGGAGAACAGATCCCTTTCTGGCCCCAAATGATAGTTACCCATTCTCAGTCATTGGTGTGATGGTTGCAGCCACGAGACCTTCAAGTTTCTTCTTTGAGGAGGCCATGGTCCTGCTGGAAAAAAGTATGGAAAACACAAAATGTAATCCCTTTCTTTCTTTAACGAATGTTAATTAATGATAAAACTCTTGGGCAGGGCAAAGTCCATTTCCAGTTTAGAACTGTAAAATATGCTTACAAGTATGCACACACACAGAGCAAAGGAGAAGGATGTAAAATTTTAGAGTTTAATTCTAATGCGGAGAAAGCTCTTTTTTTTTTTTTTAAAGACAGGGTAGGGTGGAGACAAGAAGAGGGCAATGTCCTAGAAAATACTACCAGAAAGGCCTCCCAGTTTATCTACACAGATGCTTGTGAGGCAATCTGAAACCTCAAAGAGCAGGGGTAAACAACAGCAGACCCAAGAAAGAACCTGCATATAACTCAAGGAGGCCAAGGACAGTGCACACAAAATTACTATTAAATTGAAATATGGTCAAAAAACAAAAAGAGAGACATTCTTTTCTCTCTTCATGTTGCTATTCTTTTATGCTAGAATCACCTAAAATCAGCAATTAGTCTCCAGGTTTCAGCATGATTTACACAGCTATCGTCAGATCTACCTGTTCTCCCATATTCTAATTATGACCAGTTTTACCTTGTCTTCCTAGCTCTAGTATAAATATTTAAACTGCATCACAATTACTTATTCATCTCTCTTACTCAGGCTCCCAGAGGGCAGGAAATAATGCTTTATCTGCCTTTCTTTTCCCTGCACCGAATGCTTCCTCCAACCTACAGGTGCTCAATTAAAATGGGATGAATATGCTGGTGATTGAATGAGGAGTTCAGACTGTGGCTGGATGGCGACTTCCACTGCCCGGGAGCTCACTGCTGAAGAGTCAACCTGACACCACTTGGGCCAGAGGACCTTTCACCATCAGGCAGAGAGTGTACCTGTCCATACCAAAACCAAGCCCATTGCCATGAAGTTGATGCTGACTCATAGTGACCCTAAAGGACAGAGCAGAACTGCTCCCTTGTGTTTCCAAGGCTATAATCTTTACGGAAGTAGACTGGCTGGTGGGTTTGAACTACCGACTTTTCAGTTAGCAGCTGAGTGCTTAACCACTGTACCATCAGGGCTCCTTACTGGTCCATAATCAGTGTAAAAAAACTCAAGAAGTTCAAAACATAGGCAACGAGAGGCACAGAGCCTAGTGGTTAACAGCCTGGATTCCACAGGCAGAGTGCCTGGTTCAATTTCCAGCTCTGCCACTTACTAGTAATGTAAGTTAGTATCATTTATTTACTGTGGTGCATATAAACATAACAAAACATATGCTAACTCAACAATTTCTACACGTACAATTCAGTGACACTGATTATATTCTTCAAGTTGTACAACCATTCTCGCTATCTTCCAAAACATTTCCCCACTATTAAAATAAACTCAGTGCCCCCTAAGCAAAAACTTCACCTCCTACCCCTGGTAACCACTAATAATCTTTGGCTTATATATATTTTCTTATTTCATGTAAGTGAGATCATACAGTGTTTGTCCTTCTGTGACTGAAGAAGTATAGGCAGTCCCCAGATTACGAATGAGTTTCGTTCCTAAGTCTGTGCTTAAATTGAATTTGTACGTAAGTTGGAACAGTTAGGTACCATTTGTATCTAATGGGAGTCAAATGTTTGTCTTTATAGTGTACCTTTCTACGCATAAAAAACATGAAAGAAACACTTCCAGATACAGTAAAACATCTTTAACATAATAATAGAGTAATAATAATAATGTTTTGATGCGCTTCACAAAGTAGCACCCCGTTATTACAAACCATTCTATGTACCTTGAATTTTTAATAGGCTTTACGGGGGTTCGGTTGTAACTACAGGTTGTATGCAAGCTGGATGTTTTTAACCCGGGGACTTCCTGTATTATTATTTTCTGAGCTGTAAGACATAATTCAAAGCCACAAATGCGAAGTCTAACAATTCAAGAAGAAAACAAAATATGATCAGATAATATCTGGTGAAAACTATACAGAAGACTTATACAAAAGGCTTACAGCAAATATAATGTTGTCTACAGGTGTCAAACAAGAGGGGGTATGTTATAGTTCTATGGTCACTGGTACATTTAAAGGAGTTCCTGGGCGGTACAAATGGTTAAGCACTTGGCTACCAATGAAAAGGTTGGTGGTTCAAATCCATCCAAGGCACTTCAGAAGAAAAGCCTGGCAATCTGCTTCTGAAAGATCACAGCCATGAAAACCCTATGGAGCACAGTTCTACTCTGCTACATGAGGAGTCACTATGAGTTGAAACTGACCTGAAAGCAACTTGTTTGTTTTTTTGGGTGCATTTAAAAACCCAATGTCCACTGTACTTACATTACTTACTTGTAATAATTATAAACTACTTTGCTTGGTCTGTTCTCGTTTTAAAACTGTTCATCTCATCTCCCCAAATAGGAGTTTAAACTTCTGAAATAAGGAGATTATATCATCTACTTTTTCTGCTATCCTTCAAGAGTCCTGGCTCAGGTGAGCCCTTGAGGAATACTTGTTGCTTTAGTGGAAGGCCAACACGATACATCCCCTTACAAACAGATATGTTCTTAGGAAGACTTGCTCCTGAAATTAAGCCCAAATTCTGCCTGGAGCTTTGCCCTATATTGTAGGGCAATAAAGGGGAAGCTTACCAGATACATATGACACTAGGGATTTCTCTTTTCCTAGTTTGAAGAATGTGACTAAAATCATGCTGGAGGTTTGGAAAGATAAATGCAATCACCTGGCCCATGGGGAAAAACACGGGACGAGAAGTCCTAAGACATAGCTTCTAATCCTTCATGTGACCACCTGTGCTATAATGGGCAGGTCACTTGGCTTCTCAGTCTTAAAGGCCATTAACATAGGCCCTGTCTAATTCAGAAGAATGTAATGAGTATCAAACAAGATTGATGGTATTATACTTGCTGCATATCTTCACCTGACACTCCTACAGGCATCTCAATTCAAGATCCCCAAAAGTCTTCTAAATGATTTCTTCCCGTTTCAGTAGAGGAATAAGAAGGCCAGCTCTGAAGCCAGACTTCATGGGTGTGCATCCTGGCTCTATGACTTACCAGCTGGGTGACCTTGGGCCAGTTATTTAATCTCTTACTTAACCAGTTATTTATCCCCTTCAGTAAATGAGGATAACTGTAATAATGTTTCATAGGGTTACTGAGAGAATCAAATGAATGAATGTACATAATCAATAACAGTGCCAGACACATAGTAAATACAAGTTAGCCCATCCATGAAGTCTTATTTGATGGCTACAGGACGTTAGCAAGTATTATCACCATTCCCTCACCTGCACCACCTTCCCGGTCATTTCGGCTCTGCTGGTGCCTCCTCTCCAACCCGCAATGCTCTTGTCTATTACGGGATTAAGATTTCTATTCTGTTATCTTCTTCCCTTGCAATCTTTCTTTCCTCCTTTACTGCCCCTCTCAGAACTTACCCCTTTATTACCTCTTATCTAGATCAATGGGCACAACCCCAGGTGCAAAGGGCACAAGAAAGTTTAAGTGGTAAGAGCCCTGAGAACTAGATTCGACATTAAAAAAAGTCCCCCAATTCAAACAGTACTAGGTTGTTCATGCTAAACAGACCACCATATTCTTGTGCTTCGGGCTGCATTCTGTATCAGTTTAGGGCAGTGACATTGATATTCTTAAGATGGGCAGCAGCTCAGACTGGCAGTTTTGTGTCTTTGATGCAAAGAAATCAAATTAACTGCCACTTAAGTGCGGTTTGTTTAGTTAAAAAATTCCAAACATAGGGCCTGTGGGGGTGTGGGATGGGAGCTGGGAATCACTATTCTAATCCCTACTCTCCCCTCCTTCAGTCAACACAGGCTTCCAGTAACACAGATATTTCTAATCTCGTCTTTGCCCTGCTTAGAAAATGCCCACAACTTCTCCTGGTGTGTGTTGTTGTCAGGTGCTGTCGAGTAGATCTCGACTCATAGCAAGCCCATGTGACAGAGTAGAACAGCCCCCTAGGGCTTCCTCGGCTGTAATCTTTACAAAGGAGCCCCGGTGACGGTGACGCAGTGGTTAAGTGCTGGGCTGCTAACTGTAAGGTCGGTGGTTTGAACCCACCAGCCACTCTGTGGGAGAAAGATGTGCCAGTCTGCTTCTGTAAAGATTTAAAAGCCTTGGAAACTTTATGGCGGCAGTTCTACTCTGTCCTACAGGGTCCCTGTGAGTTAGAATTGACTCGCCTGCAATGGGTTTAATCTTTACGAGAGCAGATCGCCAGGTCTTTTCTCCCACAAAGCCTTGGAAACTCTATGCAGCAGTTCTACCTTGTACTATAGGGTTACTACGAGTCGGAAGCAACTCGGCAACAACAGGTGTTTTTTTTTTTTTTGGGGGGGGGTGTTAATCTTTACAGGAGCACATCACCAGGTCTTTCTCCTGAGGAACCACTGGCTGGGTTTGAACCATCAACCTTTCAGTTAGCAGCCACATGCTTTAACCCTTGTGCCACAAGGGCTCTTTCCTTCAATCTAACCAAAGATTAAAACCCACTTTAAAAGCCAGGGAACGTTCCCTGATCCTCCAAGCTGGAAAGAATTCCTTAACCCTTTAGAATCCACCCAAACACTTGACTATTATTTTTTTTTTAACCTAACATCAGAGTTATTACCCAGGCAGCTTTGACTCTACTTTTAGACCGTAAACCATACAGGGGGTAGGAAAAAACTTCAAATTTCTCTTTGCACAGAGCAATATACTAATAACTAAGGTTTCTGACTTTGTGAACTGGGATAAAAAGATGACAGCAACTTTAACAGAATAGTATTTGTAAATTCAACTTTTAAATTTGGGAATGTTATGCTTTGAAATTTGTCATAGCTTGTATAATTCAAAAGCAAATGGTTAAAATGTCCTCCTAGGTAACATCTGATGTGAGTTTAGAATGTTATTACTAAAACACTGGGGAGGGGTATTACTCTTGAAATACTTCTATCCATAGACAAGAACTTTTAGTGCAAAGAATTCAAATCACCGAGGTTAATTTCTTTTTTTTTTTTTTTTAAAGAGCAAAGTTTCAAGAAAAACAAAGGATCTCTGGGAATGGGAGAGGGTTTATCTCGGGACAAGGAGGATGAGAAATACTTGGAGAAGAAGATACAGAAACAGGAAATGAAAAAAAAAAAAAAAAAGCCAAAAGCAGAAATACAATCGTTTTCCCATAAAATAAGGGTGGCTGTATCAAACGTAATCGCTAAACTGCTTCCGGTCAGTTGCTGACTCTGATATTTTGAGAAAAGGAACCTGGAGATCTGGCTATGTGGTCTGGAAAGAACCAGGGGCAGTAGTAGGTCCCTCTGCCCCGTCTGTCAGGGCACTGCCAGGCCAGAAGAGTGTCGCACCCACATCTCCTCTAGTCGACTTCCCAGGTTTAACTGCCTTCCCCTCTTTCTCCGGGTCTGTCACCGCCTCACCCACTCCGGGTTCGCGTCTCCCGCGTCAATCTGCCCGAATTCGCCGGGCAGTCTGTCCGTTTGCGTCCGTCGGTCCACTGCAGCGCCGTCCCGGGCCGCGCTCACCCGAGACACCGTGGATCCGCCTCCGTTGCCGTGGAAGCCGCCGCCACTTGGCGCAGTCCGGCCGCTGGTTACCCGCCGCCCCCGCCGCCTCTTTATTGCCGCCGCCACCGCCCTGGGCCTAAGACCACGTGCCCGCCACGCCCCGGGGCGCCTGGGGATTGTAGTTCTTGCCCTTCCCTCTAAACCCGCCGAGGGCATTGCGCTCACACCGCCGAGCCGCCGGGCCAGGAAAGCCCCGACAGGTGATGCATTTATAGAGTGTGCTTCCTTGTAAGGTACCTAAACGATGTGGGCTGAAGTAGCATCGTTGCACCGCAAGGAAGACCCCAAACTGGGTCTCTGGGAGGGCGTGGCTTAGGCGCACCTCACCTCTGCGGTGCACAGACCTCGCCCGCACTTTCTGCCCCGCGAGTCTTTTCCGCTTGCAGACTGCTTCTTGTGCTCTTTTTGTTTGTTTTCTCCTGCTCAGGGCCCTGCAATAACGCGGGTATTTCGTGGTTCTGGATTTTGAGATTTGTGCTGCTGTTTCAGGCACGTGTCGAGAAGACTGATGCCCATCAGGGATTTGGTTTTCTTCAGGGTGAGCTACTACCCCGATCCTATACACTCATTGTTAAAACAGAGATGAGCGGATAATAAAAGTGGATTAGCTACTAATACAGGAGTTTTCTGACGTAGTCTGGAGAACAACTGAAAGAATTTTGAGAGAGAAAAGTCTTCCAAAATATCTCTACTTGCAGGAATATCAAAAATCTAATTTCTGCTATCCTGTACTATGTTAATAAAGCAGGAACACAGCCATAAACAATTCCTCAGCTAACTTCTTGCTGATGTTGAATAAACCTCAAATTTCCATAAAAGGCCATGGCTGATGATTACTGTTTCATTTAAAGAAAATAAATTTCCCGAAGCCTTTGTAGTTTGCAAGGTGTTTTTAAGTACCTTACAATAGTTCTTTCATTGCACCCAGCACCAGAAATAATCGCTAATAATAAGTACTGTATTGAGTGCGTACTCTGCCTGCACTGTTCTAGCTGTTTAACATTTAATTCATACAACCATCCTGTGTGGTGGGTACTGTAATTTATATTTTACAGATGGGGAAACATCATCCCATTTTACCAATCAGAAACAGGTTTAAAGAGTTTAAATAATTTGCCGTAGGTCCTGTAAACGGGAGTGGTTGAGCTGAAGTTTGATCTCAAGCAGTCTGGGAACTGTTTAAACTACTTTTCTGTGTTATCTAGAGCCCTGGTGGTACAGTGGTTAAGAGTTTGGTTGCTAACGAAAAGGTCTGCAGTTTGAATCCACCAGCCGCTCCTTGGAAACCCTATGGGGCACTTCTACTCTGTTCTATAGGGTCACTATGAGTCAGAATCACTCCACAGCAACGGGTTTGGTTTTTGGTTTGGCTGTGGTATCTGGCCTCCACCTCATCAGCCCCAAATAGCCCTAATACATGAAAGCAGTTCTCTTAAGGATATATCATAGGTTTAAAAAATGTTAATGAAAATATTATAATGGGACAATGTCAGTGATTTTTTTTTTTTAGTCACACGTTAATATATGTAAAACTAAGTATTTTCAATACCCAAAAAGTATAAGTTTAAAATTGCCAACCGGTAAACCAGTATTCTAAATGCACGAACTACAGCTTGTATAAATATAGTCGTACAAACTAGTTCCTTATACTAATGTATTGCTTTGAGCCTGGTGCCAAGATGGGATCAGGTGTGTGAAAGATTTATTGGGAGCAAGAGCTGGAGAAGGCAGGGAGAGCCTTCAGACTGTGATGCAGGTCTGACACCTGTGGAAGGAGAGAAGGCAGGACAGAAGATGGGGTGGGAAGAGCCTTGGATTACAGTCCTGTTCCAAGAAAAATTCAGCCAGGTCAGTGGGAAGTTCTTGAGCCAAAGTCACCGGCTGGAGGGGTTCCATGTCTCACCTGAATAGGGCACATAATAGTATCTCAAGAAACTCAGAGTCTATAATATGAATTGCTGGAAGACATTTAATCTTTTAAAAGGGTGTAAGTGCAGTGGTAGGAACACTGGTGGTTAAAGTGCTCGGCTGCTAACTATAAGGTTAGCAGTTGGAACCCACCATCTGCTTCGTGGGAGAAAGATGTGGCAGTCTGCTTCTGTAAAGATTTACAGCCTTTGAAACCCTTTGGGACAGTTCTACTGTGTCCTGTAGGGTTGCTATGAGTTGGAATCTACTTGATGGCAATGGGTTTGAGTTTTTTTGGTAAGTGCAGTGATAGGCCTGTGCAAAGGTATTATGGGGGGACTCTAATTGAGCTGAGGGGTCATTGTGTGTGTAATGAGGCAAAGGGATATTTCAGAAAAAGTCTTTGGGCAGGTGACACTGAGCTAAGTCTTAGACAATGAGTAGAACTTAGGGGACAGGAAAGGCAGCAAGGGCTCGGTACTGGGCTGTGGTCCTCCAGCACTTTTCTGATGAGTGGCAAGGGCTCTGTGACATAACAGAGGGTTCTGGACAGAGCTGGAGAAGGATGTAGAACATAATTCTAACTCACAATAAAAAGACCAGATTGACTGGCCTAAAGGAGACTGGAGAAACCCTGAGAGTATGGCCCCAGACACCCTTTTAGCTCAGTGGTGAAGTTATCTCCGTTCAGCCTGGGAATGGACAGCCCCGTAAAACCAAATGAGACTAATGAGGTACAGCAGTCCAGTGACAAGGGCCAGAAGGCAGAAGGGGACAAGGAAGCTGGTGATAGGGAACCCAAGGTTGGGTAAGGATATTGTTGATGTGTTGTGAGATTGTTCACCATTGTCATAGGGCAACATCTGCAGTAACTGTTAAATGAGAAACGCTTTTGTTCTGTAAGCCTTCATCTTAAGTGAGAATAACAGCACAATTGGAAGAGCGTAGTCAATGTCACTGAACTGTGTATGTAGAAATTTTTGAAATGGTGTATCTTTGGTTATGTGTATTTTTACCAAAAAAAAAAAAGGTTGAGAAGTTAGAGGGTTGACATGTCGTGGGGTTGTTAAACAATGTCATAAAACCATATGTGTACTACTGTTTCATGAGAAACTATTTGTTTTGTAAGCCTTCACCTGAAGTACAATAAAAAAATAAAAAAGTTTTCCCCATTATTAGGTTTGACAAAAGAATGTGTGTAACCCATTGGCCACACCACTCCAGTGATACATTTCAGGAACAGGGTCACAAAGTCAGCAACGAGGCAACATTCCCCAAATTTAATCCACAGCAGTGATACCGCTGGACTCTGAGTCCCCAGATCCCTTCTTTCTTTCTCTCAGAGGCATTCCGTACTGTTCACCCAGCTCCTGTGTCCTGGGGTGCTCCCTAGTCTCCCACTGTATCGACAGCATCACTCTTGGCCACAAAGGTTTCTATTATTGCATTAACACCGGTCAACAAGGAGGCACCCCCCTCCCATCAGTGCTAAAGTCTATTTTCAGGCCACAAAGTTAGCATCCTGCTAACGACATTCATTCTACAACTACTTACTGAGCACCTACCATGTCACAGGCACAGTGGACAGTGAACAGACCACTGTGCTCATGAAGCTTACAGACCAATGATGAGCATTAAGCACACAAACGAAGCCACATACACTAGTTGTAACAGGAAGGGACAGCACTGGGTGTTAAAAGGAGGAGGAGGTTCCTTAAGGTGGAAGGGTCTGCGCAGGCCTCTCTAAGGAAGGGATGTTTGAGTCATGATCTGAAGGATGAGTAGAAGTCAGCCAATGAACAGCATCCTAGGCACATGTAAAAGCCCTAAGCTTGGTAAGAACTTGGGGTTTTTGAGGAACTTAACAAAGGCCAGAATGTTGTAAACCAACTCCACAGAAAAATGGACACCTCCGCAAATTCCAAGAGGCTTAACAGCTGTTATCACAAGAAATGCATTATTCACAATAGTCAACGAGTGGAAACAGCCCAAATGTCCAACAACTGATGAATGCATAAACACAGTGTGGTATATCCATACAATGGAATATTATTCAGCAATAAAAAGAAATGAAGATTCACCTAAAACACAATATTATTTTTTAAAAAATGAAAAACTGACATATGCTACCACATGGATGAAGCTTGAAAACATTTTATGCTAAGTCAAAGAAGCCAGTCACAAAGACCACGTATTATACGATTCCATTTATATTAAATGTCCAGAATAGACAAATACAGAGAGATAGAAAGTAGATTACTGGTTGCTTAGCGCTAGGGGCTAGAGGAAAAAGGGGAATGATTGATAATAGGTCTGGGGGTTTTTCTGGAGTGATAACAATGTTTTGGAATTAGACAGTGGTGATGGTTACACAACTCTGTGAACACACTGAAAAAAAAACTAAAACCAAATCCATTGCCATCGAGTCAATTCCGACTCACAGCAACCCTGTAAGACAGAATAGAACTGCCCCATGGGGTTTCCAAGGAGCAGCTGGTGGATTTGAACTGCCAACATTTTGGTTAGCAGCCGAGCTCTTAACCACTACGCCACCAGGGCACCATGAACATACTAAAATCCACTAAACTGTACACTTTAAATAGGTAAATTGTATGGTATGTGAATTATATCTCAATAAACCTATTAGTATTTCTAAAAAAAAAAAATCTGCAGTCACACATTCCAGGTTAAGAATAGCAAATTGGAAGTACAGCTGTTGTTGAATTCATTTTTTCCTTCCAGCAACCTTTCCCTTAGAAACCTGGTGTGCATTCACTAAAAAGCTGGGCCAGGAGAAAATGGAACATAACTGCACTGTAAAGCAAAAACGAAACCCCCTGCCATTGAGTAGATTCCAACTCATAGCAACCCTACAGGACAGACTAGAACTGCCCCCACATGGTTTCCAAGGCTATAAGTCTTTTTTTTTTTTTTTAATCATGCTTTAGGTGAAAGTTTACAGAGCAAATTAGTTTCTCATTAAACAGTTAATACACAAATTGCTTTGTTAAATTGGTTGCCAACCCCACCATGTGTCAACACTCTCCCCTTTTCCACCCTGGCTTCCTTGTTTCCATTTGCCCAGTTTTCCCGTCCCTTCCTGCCGTCTGGTTTTTGCTGTTGGGCTGGTGTGCCCATTTAGTCTCCTATACACGGTTGAACTACGAAGCA